TGATGAACTTGTGGCAGTCCCATTTCCATGGGCTAGCTGGAGGCTGATGCCTGCGCGTCAGCCTGCAGGAGAGCAGGGCTAGCCAGGTAACTGCTTGTGGGGCAGCTGGCTGTGCTGGCAGTATTGATATACTGGCTGGCATAAAAATACCTGTTTCCTACCTCTTCATCTCTGATGTTTTCTGAATCTGCTACTGTTGCAATAGAAGTGGTGTAAATGCATTGATAAAAAAATTAAACTCTTCAGTTTACCGTTTAATGAGGTGGCTAGACTGGGTGAGCACCACATTGAGCTCCAGATCTCATCATTACAATGGTAGGTAGATCTTCAGTCATAAAATGATGGTTATGCATTAATATTCCCTCTGACACAGTTGGCATAGCTAAAAATGGTTAAAATGGTTAAAATTCATACCACTTATTGTTGCAGCATTTGTCGTGGTGGTTTTTTTTCTGTACAGGAAGCGTATGTTATTAAGCACCTTGTACACAAAACTTCATTTTCAGTTTCATTTAAGAAATCTTTATCCCAGCATAACAAAGGCAATGTAGTAACTTGAGCTTCTCACTAGTTGTATCATTCACACAGTTAAATAGTTTTGATTTTCTCATTTGTGCTGTAACTGGGGATGAAGTAATCTTATCAGGTATCCAGACTTTCTTGTCTCTGAAAGTGATATACTTAAGGGACTTTAAAGTGCTTATAATCAATTAAGATTGATTTTTAGTTATGAAGGAGAGTTTTCAAATTAACAGAAACCCTGAGACCGGTTCCGATATCTCATTGTGAATGAGATCTCACTTGCATAAAAAAGTACCAGTGATTAAAAGAATTCTTTCATAAATAAAAGGACTATTCTGACTGCTGTTTCAAATGTGGATTTGTCCTTTAGAAGTAACCTGAATTTTCTTCTTGTAGTCTTGTGTAACTCTGGTAGATTTCCCCCCCCCGCCCAGGAAAAAACACACTACATTATGTATTTGCTACAGAGGATTTTGGAAGATGTGTTATCTTGTTCTGGTGTATGTTAGACAGGTACAGCTGATTGCTTTGGGGATTCCTTGATTTTTATTTTTTTTAATAAGCTTACAGAAGCTGTAAGAATTGCCTTTTTAGGTAGTTTAATATATTCTGCATTTAAACATTTTCTATGTTAAACAAAAGCTCAAGAAGCCAGAGAAGCTTCCTAGACTTAGCTCACTCTTCTAGAATCTCATTGCTATTCAAAACTTCAGAGTAATCTTTTTTCTGTTTGTCAGGAAGGTGTGGATGGGACACCTTCAGACAGCAAGTGGTAGTGTCACAGCAGTGATACTTGCTCTGTAACTAGTGAGCATCTTGTGCACATTTGTACTTGTGAAAGAGGTGTGTTTGAGCCAGAGGGTCCCAAATGTTTAGTCACTCAAAAATAATTATTTGAATGTGTTGGTGGTAAGGATACTGTATTGCTGATAATTCAGAATTTCACAGGGTTATCTTTAGCTATTACTTACTGATATGAAGTTTAATGGACTTCTGTTTTAAGCCATATATCAACTAAAAAATCAGAAAGACATTTCCCTTCTCCACAGGAGGCTCTGAAATTGAGCTTTGAGTTTCTTATGAGCTTCTGGTTGGAAGAGAGATAGCAGAGCTGAAATGCTGGTCTGATGAGGATGGCTGTATTCTGTGTCACTTCAGCCCATTGAGTATGTCAAAGGCAGTTTTACAGGGACTCAGGCATTCTTTGAAGCCTTATTTTGAGCATTGGCTTGAGTTTCACTTTATTTTCAAGGTCTAGTGTCTCTTAAATCTCTTATCTTTTGTCAGCTTAGCATTTTTGTGTTTTGTATCAGCCTGAAACAAAGTTCCCTTACAGCCCTTAACACGATAGCCCTAACGTGCCTAGTGATTTTCTTCATTGATATATAAAATTAATTTCAATTTTGATACCTTGGTGGAACTAGAGATTATTTTTCTTCCAGGTGAAAGGTGTTAGGGAGAGATTTTGCATATGGCTTTGGAAGATGTTAAAAAACTCAGCGTAGAAGTGAGAACACTGATTTATCTAACAGCATCTAATAGATATTTTGGTTTTTTCCTGGTTTATTTTATAAAATAAAATGCTGAGAAACTTGAAATTAAAAATACTGCTGAACATCTACTTTTGACTTGTAACAATACTTACAACACTTGGTGTATTGCTATGGTTAGGTCAGCCTGGTCACACTGGTAATTGTTCTTCTCAAATGGTGAACTGGGGAGTAGAAATCTCTTGTAACGGAAGTCTTATGAACTTAAGTTTAACTTGAGTCACATGTAACAATTGAGATGTAATGTTGTAGCACAACTTGGTAAGTGTTGCATGTTCTTGTTTCTTAATGGTACAGGCTGACTGGTTACTCATTTTTACTTTCTGCACCTTGAGTATGGTGCATTAATATCCCTGTGTTTATGAGCAGTGGCGCAGTTCAGAATCTGCAGGAATAAATTGTCATCATTTTTGTGATTTGTAGGATTTTGCCTATGCTGAGTTTTCCTTGTCTGAGATTTGGAGTCTGATTTTATTCTGTGGAACAGTTCAGATTTGTCTTGGGGGTGGTTTTGAGACATGCTGTTTCAGTGTGACATTAAGTTACTTGTTTGAGTACATTAAGCTGAGAAGCAACCGTAGTCAGATGCTGTGGATGTCAAACACGGTATTAGATCCATTGGTAACATCTTACTAGGCTTCAACTAGTGCTACATAGATAGACTTTAGCAGATGGTTGCCCTGGTAATGGATCCATAGGGTTAAGTTGCAGAATAATTTTGTCTTTTCTGTCTGTTAGCTGGGGAAAATGCTTAACCTTTCTACTACTGTATAAATCTCTTGTAAATGCCTGTCAGTTCCCTGTGTGCTGGGGCTTGCAGGTAGTGTAAAAGTGTGGTATTCTGCTTACAGCAGAATTAGAGGCTTGCAGTGGTACTTAAGACTGCTTCTTTTATATGCTGTTAAATTATAGTATGTTTATTACTTCTGAGGCTGTAGGAAGGTGCTGATTACCTGCTGTATTTTTAAAATGCTTTATCTGAAACACAAGCTTTAAATCCCTACCTTTTAAAAAATGCATCACCCCTGCCACAGATAAGATTAGAAATTGTGCCTATTGATCAGCAAATTTTAAAATAAAACTTGCAGAAGCCCAGCAGGAGTGACCAGTATATAGCATGGTGCTCTATGTATACCTGCATTTCCTATAATCAAATGAGGTTGAAGCTTATTTTTGATCTGACAGGTATGGTTTCTCAAGGCAGGGATAGCCAAATAGCAGACATTCAGAGGTCTACTATAGAGCAGTACTTCAGTACTGTATTGACTCCTGTGGTAAGGAGGAGAAAATAAAGATGAGGAAGAGTCTGAACAAATCGCAGTCAAGTAGCAGGCATAAAGCCAAGAAGTTGGGCCAGTGTCAAGTGCATACGTGTGTTCTTCATGTGCAGTCTATAATTGCAATAATTGCTGTGTATGAAGTAGAATCCGTGGTCTTAAATATATTAGTATACAATGGTCATCGTGTGAATTGGGGACATGAAGTGGAACCACTAGTACCATCAAGTTAGATATAACCTGAGCATACATCTGGCTGAGAGCACTGCTCATGGTCCAACCATGGCAACCAAGTTTAACTGCCAGAATGCACCATAGGCTCTTTGGCAACTTCAGTCCCATATACTTCTAGGAAGAGTCTGTCGCTAACACTATAGTACTACTACTACAAGAAGTACCAGTACAAATGTACCAGAGCTGCTTTGAGAGAGAAACTGCATATAATAAGTTTAAAAGGAAATACAAACTAACAGTTAAAAGGGTAAAACCCAGATAGTATTGAGGTTGCCATAAGAAGAGTATTAAAGCTCAGAAAACTTATGCTGCTGGTCAGCAAAAATGTCCATGTAGTTGGTAACCTTTTTTGAAGGAACTTGCTAAAGAGTGTTAGCTCTCTAAATGAGGAAAAGATGGGAGAATCTTGCACATTAAATGTAAAACCATAATGGGGTAGTCAAATATTTTGAAGATCAGATTGATAAAAGCAAAAAAAAAACTAGTAAAAAAATATTGAGACAGAATTGTAATAGGATAGGATCAGTGGGGCTGAAATAATGGAAGTATAAAACAAAGATAAAACCCTAATTGAAAAGCCGGGTGAAATATTTGCCTTTAGAAAGAATTTTAGAGTCTTCCCAGTAGAGCCTTTATGGATGGATGACTCTGAGTAACTGTCTTTAGTCAAAGCACTGTTAGGGGAGATTTTAGAGCAAATTGATGAAGTGTCTTGCCTGGAACTGCACTGTATTTGTTTGGGTTTTTTTCTAGACAAATAATATTTAGCTGCTGAACTGTTGAACACAGCATACAGCCTTTCTTAAACCTGCCTTGCTCCCAGAAGAATGGTAGGTGGCAATCGTTATGGTTGTCCCCGAAAGAGCTTCAGATTTGGTCTTCATTTTTCTGCTCACTGTAAAATATTCTAGAGTATTATTACATAGATAAATGAAAAAATGTTGGGGTAAATTAGGGAAAAAAATTAAAAGGGAATTGTGCCTTGCATTCATTAAATTGCCAAGATTTCAAATCTGGCACATAAAATACCGGATTTTGTGGAGAAAATGCTAACAGACACTCAAATCAGCTAATTTGTCATGTGATGGGGTACCCCTTAAAATTTAAGATAAGGAGAAATGAAAGATTATATTTTAGGGTGGAGTGGGGGATTGTTACTAGTGGGAAGCTCCATAAAGAACATTGTCTAACACATTTGGATTGATCAAGAGAAGAGGCTTTTATAGCAGAAATCTAAGACAGCCTTGTGTAACGATGTTTTCCCATTGAAATGCAGCATTATCATGGGGAATAAGTATAGAAAAACATTTTGGGGCTGTTTAGTGCCCTTAAATTTGATGCAGTTTTTAAAATAATTCAAATAAAAAATTCTAATCTAACAAGAAACCTGAATGACTGGTCTTGCTGGTTGCACGCGATGACTTTTCAGGTTCTTAATTTGTCCGTTCTCTACCTACCCATTGCCCTCCCGTTCCTCAGCAGTCCAGTCCTGGCATATACTGAGCTTCTGCAGCAGGCTCAGATGGTGACAAGAATCAAGTGGTTTAGCAAAATAATGAGCAGGAAGAGAAGTGTAGTTCTGGTCGATGCTGTAGTGCTGGTGTCCTCTTGCTGCAATGAGGACTTGTGTTGTTTAAAGTAGTATAGTTCACGCTTATAGATGTGAAAGGAGAATTGTGTCCATGTTTATCTGAATGAGTTGGTTAATCGAGGGGTGGACAGAAAGACAAACCTTCCTTACTGTCAAGTCAACCTAAGATAATTAAAAATGCTATGCAAACTGGTTGAGAACAGTGAAGTTAAAATCAAGTTCAAAGTACTGAAACTATGTCCTGTATAGGTTCACGATGTGAAGTCTGGTCACTTAATTTGTCCGTGTTGGAGCTTTAACATGTTCGGTATTTCCTTAGATGGCTGGTAGGGCGTGCTGGCATTTCTGTGTACTCATGGTCTTCACTGATACTTCTTATCTTAAGGAAGTTACTTCCCTAACTCAAAAGGACACTGACAGTGAAGGTCAGTTTGCAAGGATAGGACATAGGAAGTATTTGAAAAGGCTAATTTTAGTTAGTGTGGGTGATCTTTCTAGAGTGCCAGAAGTCATGCAGTCGTAATTTTCTCCGAATTGCATTCTGATGGTACATGTCTTCACTCATTGTAAAATGAACCTGGGGAGATTGCATTTGCTAGGCTAAAATTGTTTTTTGTCGATCTTGTGATCTCTTTTAGCTAAGAGGTATAACAGCATTGTAGGGGATGTGTCCTATGTGCCCAGCATCTCTAAGGAATTGAGATGTTTTGGGCTGGTTTTCCTTTACAGTGTTTAGGCTATAGATCCTAAGTAGATTCAGTGCCACTGTACTTGGTTTCTTTTTGCCACAAGACCGATCTGTCCTTTTTGCATTGAGCTCAGTCATCTGCTGCTGCTTATGGTTGATTTTGTCCAGATAACTGGCATAGGTTATGTATTTAGGTTGTGAATGTGATCAAATGTGAATGTGAGACAAAGCTGTATATATAAACACCTGGAGAATCATTCCAAGGAAACTCCATGGGGAAGTCAATGTTTTCTGCCTTTGGGATACTTATTGTGGTTTATGACAACGTGTTCTGTAAGGTGTATAAAAAAAATTAAAATCCCACCAAAAAAACAGCTTGTGCACCTTGCTAGGAAAGATTCAAGTTATAAATTATGCACACAGTTTTCTTTATCTTTTTGATGAATAGCTGCACTTTTGACCAAAACGCAATTGACTCCAAAACAAAACACTTCTTTCTTTACATACAAATCTTGTTTATTTTTTTATTTACAGACTATGAGAAGACACAGAAATGAAGTTACAATTGAATTGCGGAAGGTGAGTCTGGTTTTGTTTATCAGCTATGTTACTTTTATAATAATGCTCTGATGTCTTAGCTAAATATTTTCCCGTAAGCTTTGCTTATGGCCCCAAATGTATATAGAAAAGTTGTAGATCTGTAGATTACTAACTGTGGATTTTAATATTAGTTTTACTCTCTAACTCCTTCAGCTCGGTGCAGCAGAACAGTACTGCTTTACTCCAGTGTATTGCTTGGAAATAATCCATATTCAGTTTCTGTACCAGTTCTCATATTATTACAGTGAAGCTGTCAGCTGTTCAAATGCTTAAAGTCTTCAAATAGGAAAAGGGAGAGTTTTAGCATTTAGAAAATGCGGCTGTTCTTTCTGTTGTGTTTTTTTTTGTTGTTGTGTTGTGCTTTTTTGTTTGTTTGTTTGCTTTAAATTATTGTGTGCTGTAGAGGGAGTTCACTTTGGGGTCAGATTTTGGTTATATGGGGTAAATGCCAATGTATCTGGGAAGATCATGACCATGAGAGGTGATTTAGTTCAGGGCTCTGCCTAAATACGAGATTTGTTACACCGTCATCATTCGTAACACTTCCAACAGCCCTCCTAAGCACCTTAGAGGTTTGCTGCTGGACTACTTTTTCACAAGCTAGATGTCTCTTGGGCTGTGTGTGTAAAGAGAAAGGGTAAACTTCTGTCTGCCTTTGGGTGCATTCAGTATATTTGAGGACTGATACAGGCCCCTTTCGTTTTGTCCTGTCGAGACAAACTCAGTTCTTCACCCTTTCCTTGAACACTCTGTTTCCTAGATTTGCCTTGTTGTAGCTCCTTGGATCCAGATTGCCTTTTAACTTGAATTCCTGTTCTGTTTCCCCAGTATACTTCCCCACCTTGGTATCACCCATGTTTTCCAATATTTTCATTAATGACTTGATGGAAATGTGTGCTTTCAATATTGTAGATGTAGGCCAGCCTCCTGTGGATCTCCCATTTGATCCATCTCTCCAGTTTGCCAGCTTAATCATTGACAGTCTGAGTGGAGCTTGCTTAGGAGTGCACACCCACCCAGTTTCATCTAATTTTTTTTCATTATTTTCAAACTGAGAGAGACAAAAGCCTTGCTAAAATGAAGGTGAAGTGTTTGTAAATGAAAGTAATGTTGAAAAAAATGCTTTGACTTATTTTTGAGAAATTTTGTCTGCATTTAGCACCTGATTGTGTTGGAGCTACCAAAAATCTTGTCCCAGTATTTTCCTGGGATCCTTCTGTTCTTCGTATAAAAGAGACTTTTTATTTTTCCTTTTTTTTTTTCCATTTCAGATCTTACAGAAAAACTTCTGTATTTCATTACAGTATCAAAAATAAATATTTGTACGATTCATTCTGAGTCTATAAGAATTAGCTGAAGAAACCTAATGGAACCCAGATGACTGGAAAAAAGCTTCCTACATATGTGCATGATGTGTCATGTAAAAAATTGTTTAATGCTTTCATGTTTTCCTAATCAAAGAAACTAGCTGAAGATGTCTAAATGTGTTGTGTAGCTTATGGCCTCATCAGTAGTGGCTGATGACAGTTGTGGTGAAATCTACTTTTACTTCCCTGCAGCAGTAGGTACCAAGTAAAAAATGAAATTAGCAAGTATTTACTTAAAATGAGATGCAGGTAATTAATTTTAATATCTGAATTATCAGCAGTTGAAGTTTAGGCTGATATGTTAGAGGCCCTCTCTGTTCAGAACCAGTGTGTTGACTTGATGTAAAACTCGCTGTATAACTGTGAAATCCGTACTGGGAAGGGTCATTCATAGCACTTGGGCAGCCTATGCCTGCTAGCAAAGCAGTGCTGTAAAGGGTGACTTAGCTAATGCAGCATGGCCTCATATATCTCCTTAAATTGAGACTGCATGAGAGCATTCCAATGCAGTATTTGGAGAGAGCTTTGCAGTGCAAAGTGAGAATTTTAATTTAATTCTCATAATTGGTTTTTGTAACAGGTCACAATTTCAAGGCCATTTTATTACAGAAGCATGGTCATACACTTAAGATACGGCAATGTATGGAAGGAATCTTGTATGTGCCAGTAATATGTGAGTGAAAATGAGGAAGAGGAAGCCTGTGAGGGGCTGCTAGGGGCTTTTCACTAAAAACTGCACATGCAAAGATCAGTTACATGTGTAGAGCAGCGTAGGCGCTGGATGTAGGTCAGGCTGTAAATCAAGAGTGAACAGCAGCTGCAGAACTCTTTAAGTGCGGGAAGTTGTGTTCTTCTGGAGTGTTTTCTGAACATCTTCCCTTGCAGAGACCAGAAGAAACCTGCTTTACTAAGACATTCAGCACGTGTCCGAGTTGCTGGTTTGCAGGAACTGAACCGGTCCTGGTGGGCAACTGGTTTGCTGTGAGAAGTCTGTGGCACATGTGAGGCCATTGCTTCTAGTACAGATTTGGGACTGAAATGTAAAGGGATATATTTTATTAAGCTCCAGCAGTGGAAAGGATCAGCTACAATATCATTGCTTCAGTCTTCACCTTTATGGCTAACGCTGCTGCCCTAGCATGTGTATAGCAAATTCAGAAAACAGATGTTGGCATGACCTCAGTAATCCACCAGTGCCTCTTCAAAACAAAGAGATCTCTTCCCTTTATCGCAGGTATCCAGATGCTGAGTTGTACACCTGGATTTTGAAGAAAACAGGCATATTGAGCACATTCTTGATGTGTACAGTTGAAGCATTACATAGTCACTGGTTTGTCTTTTGACTCAACGTATGTATAAATATTAAATGAATGGATCTGATGAAGTTGCTTATATCTGTTTTGTAAGATGGAATGAATAAAAAAAATCACATCTTTGTACAGTAGTAAACAATTTCTGCATGCATTAGTGTGAGGTGTTTATTCTTTTGAGATTACAGACATCAAGGTGCATTTGCAACACTTTATTTCAAGAATATATCATCTCTATTCACTATCTTCACACCATACCTCAGAAAGAAACTTTACTATTTCTTCCTTTTTTTTCCCCCCTATTCCTATTCACCTATTACTTGTTTAGGAACTGAGCTAACAAAGCTATCTCTGACATGAAAGGGTAGCAGTTGTCTGGCAGAATCCTGGCTGAGGCATGGGTTGGCAACATGAGCCAGTCAGATGATGCTCCTGATGGTCAGGTGCCCTTTTCTGATGCCACATTGGCCTTGCTGAACACTTGCTGTGTTTATGTGTTTTGGGAATGGACCTACTACATTTCTGGAAAGACGGTCATGTTCTCTGGCTATATTGTTAGTGCAGCACTGAGCCTAAGAGCTTAAAATTAGCCATATCTCTTTCCAGACAGACAAGTTAATGTGCCAGTTTTGGTGATGGAGACTGTCTTAAGATTTAGAACTTGAACTTCTTGTAGTGTCTTAGCAGAGTCTGATTTAGAATGTTAATCAATTTCAGCATAATAAAAAAATGAAGGCTACTGTGTTAGCAACAGGGACTCTGGAATTAATTGGCTAACCCAGTTGATGGGTCTCATTCTGAAGGGGAGTGGGGTGGGCGAGTAATATTTAAGATTCAGTTTAAGGTGCCATAGCTTAATGAAGCCTGTAACTGCATTGCTGGAGTTGCTTTGGTTCTAGGCACTTGGCTTTCCGTGAGGAGGAAGCTTAACTGGAGCCACTTGTGTACTTAAAGGTGTCGTCCTCAGCGAGGTCAATGCTATGGTCATTGAAGTAGATGTCACCCTTCAAAGGAAGCCTTAACGCTCTTAACCTCAGCAGAAACAGAGGATCCTGCGCTCCAAGGCCTGCTAACTAACTGGAATCCTAAGAACTTCCAGGATCTCTCACAAGGTTTATTTTTGTCTTTCTTGGCAAACTCAGCTGCCTTTGAGAGCTCATATGAGCTCATGAAAGCTCTAACTGCCAATTAAGTTTGATGCAAGGCAAAGCAATTATTTGCTAAAGAAGTGGTAGATTAAGGAGCCATGGGCATATCTTTTTTTACCTGTTTCTCTGGTATACTGTACTTGTCCCTACTCTGATTTCTCTTAAATAAGATTGCTTATGTCCACAATAGCTCCTAAAGTAGTGAGCCTTAAAGAAAGGAACCTGTCTTCATGTTGCTGGGAGAGCTAGTGTGGGTAGAATCTTGTTCTGATTCTCAGAAAGTCTGAGAATGCAGAAAAAAAAATAAATCCAAATTTTCATGTAAAATTTGCTTTGGTTATGCATCTTTTCCAGTGAATGTATAGCTCTTCGTTCACTGTAAAGTACATTTTTTAGGCATAAGTCTATCAACTTCAAAGAAACGGCTATAGTCACAGGGAGACTGAAGCAGTATTAATATGTTCTTCTGCAGGCTTCCCTATCCAGTGTTAGTAGCACAAATTCTTGGGAAAGAACTTGCATCTACCCTACCTTGTCTGATTCCTCAGAGAAAGAAAAATAAAGACTCTAGGAGGAAAAATATGTTTCAAGTGTATTCTTCTGGAAACTTAGTTGAAAAGGGCTGTGAAGAAGTGCCTTGGAGGCTTGCTTGAATCGATTTAATAAGAGCATGCTTTTGCTGAACTTAACAGGCCTCGATCTTTGCAATCTGTGCTTGGGGCTTTTGGGCCACACACTGGTGTACGTGAATGTGGCTACTTAATTTTAGTCAGCCTCCTCATCTTCTGAGAAAGATGCCGCTGGCCAATAGGAACATTGTGACTGCTGTCTGTGGTGAGTTAGCAGAACTCAAATGTAGGAACGTTGTCTTTGTCTCCTAACTGCATATATGTAGCTGTGCTCTTTATCAGAAGAGCAGTCTTGGAATCTGTTTGACCACCTTTGGGTGCAAGGGATCTAATTCACTAAGGATGAAGGGTATAATTTTTCTTATATCTATGGTCTCTAGGATCATCAGTTTGGCCTGTTCAGCCTCTTTACAGATTTCCAGGTTAGTTTTTTTTTTTTTTTTAAATCTATCTAAGTGTTAATGAGTTCAAAGACAGGGAGCAGAGCCAACTAATGGTCCTTTCCCAACCATTGAAGAAATTGAA